ATTAAGCTCCGCCCATTATAGGTCCTGCCAAGAGTAGGGGCATGTTCCCAAGTCAAAAAAGTAGGAGCCCCAGCTTCCACCGGCAGTGACCCCTACCGAAGTCAAAGCTCTGTAAGGTATTTAAAAAAAAAACGAGCACAATTTAAAATTTTCCTCTTTAGACTGATTGAATTCTTGCTTGGCATCCAGCCTGGATTGTTTACTATTTGTTTTAACTTACCATACTCTTTAACCTCAAACTGAATAGTTGAACTGGCTTGAAACTGAAATCAGAAAGAAAAGCCGAAAAAAGGCAATCAATGACGGCTAAGTTCAAGCTAGTTACATGCTGTGTTGAAACTCCCTTCAATGGATCGTCACCCTTGCGCAATCCGGATGCATATCCATCAGACCGACCCCATAAGCACCGCCCCCTTGGTGCACGTGTCTGGAACATGTAGTGTGGCATTGGAGAAGAGGATGTACTAAGTGCTCGCGTATGCAGTGGGCGGGGTTTACTTGATCGGTCTATTATAGACTTAAATAAAGTCGTTAGTCGGTCGCATTTGTCGTCCAGAACAACCGATGAGCCAGAATGCTGCATCGTTTTACATAATAGTGCTGAGCCTCGTGGTCGTGGGTTGTTCAGTACCAGGTTTCGACGCACATCGGCCCACGTCCCCACTGTGCCCGCCTCGTGACTTGACCAACGTGATTCTGGAAGGATGTTGATGTTCCAACAACTGTACTACACATTCATGTTTCCATTGAGAGCGCCAGTAGCTCAAGCCACATAACAGACTCGTCCATTTTATATACAGGGATGTCTATATCCGATTAAAGTCTCAGTTCCTTTCATATCTTGCATTGTATCCCTTTAATACGACGCTTAGAGTATAAATAACTGTTCAAGAACAAAATCTATTAACTATATATCTTTTGGTAAAAGGAATGATGTTTTTATGGTAAAGTATTTTTTTTCATGTAAACACCCTTTTTAATTAAGGAGACTGTGGTTGTTGCTAATAAACTTTTAATTGACCTTTTTATACATCAATCGAACTGCCTCTATAAATAAATATTCATTTATCGGGATTCTTAGCCGATCAGAGTACTCCGTCTAATTTTGGTAGGAAGCCCCATATTTGTGCACGAAAGGGCTTGCAGGTTGTTCAAGTCGGCGATTGGGCACCACCGGACACGCTATTGGGGAGCGAGGTTGCACTGACGTTCCCGCTGAATCGTGTACATCGCGAGGAAGATGGACTACACCCGACGTGATTTCAAGTCTAGGTCTATTACAGTCTCCCGACAACTTGGGAGGGGGGGTATTGGGGGCATTTTACAATGCAAGGGATAATCCATGAATTTGAATTGGTCCAGCAATGAAAGCCTTACATGTTTGTCGGTTACAATTGTCAAGAAATCACATACCGTATGTACCAAAGTGTGACGTCATTTGAGCCAGGGCGAGTAGGGCAAACGAATTGAGTAAGCGCGCTTTATAGTTCAAGCACACAAGTGTGTAAACGCCTTCAATCGTGGACTCCCTATTGTTCCTCTTTTGTTCATACTTTTAACTTTTCGGAATACCCCCCATATGTATTGTACACGTTTTCCAACCGTGGACTCTTAGGCAACAGTGGACCCTATTGTCCTCTATTGTTATAGGTCCACGATTGAAGGCGTTTACACTCGCTGGTTCTCACGCTAATGCCTTGTCTGTGCACGTGACGTATTTACTTCGGAACACTATACCGTGGGATGAACATAGGTAGCTCAGTATTAGGTAGCGTACAGGCGGCCCAGAATATCCAATAGGCACAGTAGACATTGTACCTGGGGCTTACGAAGCATTATGAAACTGAGTTCCTGCGAAAGCATCACAGTGTGTTAAATCACACACACAAATGCAAATGACAGAACACTTGCTCTAAATTTACTGACAGTTCAATTATGAGAAAGCCACCCCAAACTAGGGGACTCTGGCCCTATAACCAGCCCAAAGAGCTCTTATTCTCGGGACCTATAGACCACTTAATATAGGTTCTGAGGAACGGAAGACTTGGATGAATATTGCGGCTACCGGAACCCAAATTTGGGTTGAGTAACCCAATTTGGTGGATGAGAAAATTTCTAGTTTGTTACTCCCCCATGTTTCATGAACCATTTTTTTGTGGAAAAGGACGATTTGGGTTAAAACCTGAGTTTTTCACACTACTTTGGTTAAAATACAACCCAAGCAAATGCATCAGTGCCAAACCGGAGAGTATAGAGGCCTTTTTTACCTGATGCCCATAATAAGCGGTCACCGCCCAGTTTCCAAGCACGGGACTGGGAGGAAGGAAGAATATGTGGGTCATGAAGCCCCCTAAGGGTCTTCCCTTGTGCCGCTCCACGATAATGTTATCCGGGTTGATAATGTCGACTTGTATCTATTTCAAAACAACGCAATCAAAAGGAAGCGAAATTAAGGGGTCACTGGAAACAGTCCTAACACAGTCCTAACATCGACAAAAATGACATCATAAACGATGATGATGACAAAAAATTGACATAGTGCTTTATGTTTTTTTCAATAGAAAATGGGATAGGGTGGGATGGGATGGAATGAGATTGGATGGGTTGGGGTGAGATGGGATGGTATGGGGTAGGGTGAGAGGGGTGGGGTGGGGTGAGATAGGATGGAATGGGGTGAAATGGGATGGGATGGGGTGAGGTGGGATGGAGTGAGACTGGGTGAAATGGGATGGGACGGGATCGGATGGGTTGGGATAGGATGGGATCAGCTGGGACGGCATGAGATGGGATCGGGAGATAGAATTGGATCGCATCAAATCGAATCAATCAGATTGACAGCAATCATAGAAATGGTTAGCAACAAGAAGAAAAGGCAACGACATACTGATGTGCATGTTAAAAGCCCCCCCCTGTACTTGTTTTGGAGAGGGATGGGATGGATTGGATTGTATGGAATAGGATGAGGTGAGGTTGGTTGGGATGGGGTTGTATGGGCTAGAGTGGAATGGGGTGGGATGAGATGGAATGGGGTAGGGTGGGATCAGATGAGGAGGGATAAGATGGAATGGAATGGGATGGGGTGAGATGGGGTGGGATGGGATCGGATGGAATGGGGTGGGATGGGATAGGGATGGGGTGATGAGATAGGGTGGGATGAAGTGGGATGGGATAGGGTAAAATAGGATGAGATGGGGTGGGCGATGGTATGGGATAGGGTGGGATGGGTTGAGATGGGATGGGGTGGGATGGATGGGGTGAAATAGGATGGGATGGTGTGGGATTGGGTGGGATGGGGTGAGATAGGATGGGGTGGGGTGGGATGTGGTGAGATAGGATGGTATGGGATCGGGTGAGATGGGATGGGCCGAGATGGGATGGGATTGGATTGGATGGGGTAGGATAGAATCGGATCGCATCAAATGGAATCAATCAAATCGACAGCAGTCATAGAAAATTAGCAACAAGAAGAAAAGGCAACGACATATTGATGCGCCTTCTTAAAGCCCCCCAAAATGCGGAAAAAAAGTACTCATTTTGGAGAGGTCCCATAAATATAACAGCCCTATCCCCACAAAATGTCAGAATATACAAAAAATGAATGGGTTTCTTACGTCATGATTCGCCGGCTCCATGTTCTGATTCAGGGCCACAGTGCGAATATTAACTGAATAGAAAGCAAAACAAATCACCACAGGTTTACCACAGAATGGATCGCCCAGAGGACATGACGCAAACTCTCCGAAACTGTGGCCAAAAGTAACTGCTGTACGAATACATTTTCACAAAGACTATTCCTGAATGAAACAGACTCCCCCCGGATATCACTGATGATCTCAACCACCACAAATTTAAAAAGTTAATTTCAAATTAAGCCACGCTCTAAAGCCTCTCAGTGAGACTTCCAAGCCGAGTATGAGAGAGGACACCTAACCACGTTTTGGTCAGCTGGGTACTTTTACAGCCGATATTCCAGACAGAACTCCACGGGACAGATTATTTTTTCGGCTTTGATATTTGCTTGGCGACCTTGTGGGGGTTATACTTTACAACATTCCTGGGTGTATGGATGGGGGCTTCGAACCCACAAACAATCAAAATTTACACCACGCAGACAGGGAAAACAGCTTTGTTGGGTTACAGCAGCTGAACACCCTACAACGTCAAGGCAAAACCTCGCGTCCGAAATACGGGTCATCAACTGGTAGAAACCTCCATGCATAAATGTAAAAGGCTGTAGGTTTGAAGCCATCCAATCAATCACATGAACTTTTCCAAAAAAGCTAAAGTAAACCGCTGAGCATAATAATATTACAAAAATTTGCCCAAACTGGTGATTTTAATATTTTTTTTAAGATTTTTTTACAGAATAAATCATAGGTGAGTAGGAAAGAAAGCACTAAGTATATTTTATCTTTATTAATTAAATATTAGCGTCAAATAACTTCAGAAAACAAAACCAGCAAATGAAACCAAGGATGTCGGGACCGTGAAGAGGGCTTTTGACTTTTCTTCCCAACATCATTTTGAAAGAGCACGAAGCCGCATTTGCTTTTGAATTTGACCCCATTCACACCAAAACCTGGATTAGCTCCCCAAATGTTTTTCACATTCAAGAATCTCAAGGCAAGACTTTTTTTTTTCTAGAATCCGGTATCAAAGCAAGCTTTATATACGAGGACACATGCACACAAACAAATCGTCAGGATACACTTACCTTCATGTTTGGGGGTGTAAAGCGGCTTATCCGTCTGGATGAAGACGAATCCAGACTGGTAGCTCAGCAGAATCGGGCGTTGGTCTTGGAATGTGAGTTGATCAGAGTTAGCAGTGGCCACCAATGTGACGAATTGCTGCCCGGTTGTCAACCGGTCCCTTTGGACGGTCAGTACAGCAAGTTGCGGTTCATCTAACAATGCAGGAAGTAACATGAATTTCATAATACATTGATTAATTTAAAAACAATAACTGTACACCGCAAGCAATTTAGGTAATGCTGCCGCTAATGTTATTTCAGTATACTGCCTGACTGCCTGTCGCCTTTATGTGTCAATGTAGGAAATATCGTTGGTGGTTTATCGTTGACCCAACAGCTGCTTTATTTAGCTTACTTACGCTTATTTGCTCAAAACTCTAAACCACAGTTCTCACTTAAAAGAACTGACTGCGATTTCAGGCATGCATGCCAAGAACTGTCGACTGAAGCCATGGCGGCTATGTAATATAATAGAAGTTTGGCAATAGCATGGCGTTCAGCGTCAGTTTGGCTCTGTAAATTGCACTCAGCACAACAAGCCCTTTAGTTCCACAGGATCTGTCCCGGTATCGTCGTTTTGAATGTCAGAGGTATATGACACTGCTCTCCTATGTACACTGCTCTGTTAAGTTTGGCGTTAAACGCAACCGCTATTTGCTACGAAAGCCCGTAAGTGCCACCGCTGTTTTATGTTTCACTGCAGCTATTTATTGTTTTGAAGAGCAGCTATTTTTTATTATCATGAGCAACTTTTTCTCTCTTATTTTAGCAGTTATTTTTTATTTTCCAGGGCAATTGTTTTTGTTTTTTAGAAGGGAATTTATTTATTTTTCAAGAGCAGCTGTTTGTATTTTGAAAAACAGCTACTTAGAGTCTTATGGTCTAAGAGTAATTTAATTACGATATTTATAAAAATTAACTTAATATCCTATTTTCTCCTGAATGAAGATCTTTATTATATTGTATCCTGTATATATTTTTTTTCTCGTATGGCCAGTAGCATCAGATACGGAGGCCTTTGAGTCACAGTTATTAGGTTTCCTTTTCCTTTTCCTGGCATTTTTCGCTGTCCTTGTTGATGTGTATGATTATTAAAAAAACAATGTTCGTCCTTGTGTTATATGTCTGTGGGGAATGCTGAATACATGCAAATGATGGTAACACTAACAAATGAATCGTAGAAGTAAATAAGCGTAATAGCGATGCACAATGTCCAGTACAATTAACGAGAATTAAAAACGGCTGATCATTTCCTCGTGAGTAGAACACACAGCTGACTGGTTAAGATGTTTAATAGCCCTAAAATGCGTAACGGCTGCACTTGCTCGAGCAAATTTTGTAATTATGCCTCGATCGGAATGTAACACAACATACAGCAAAGCTACAACGAGCCACGGCATCCGTGCAAAACATCAGCTTATGGCAAAATAAATTGCTGTTCTTGAACATGTTAACAGCTGCTCGGGAAAGTAAAAATAACTCCTCAGGAAAATAAAAATAGTTGCTTCTGAAAATATAAATAGCTACTCTGAACACTAAAATAGTGCAGTGGTGGCATTAACCGGCTTTCGTAATTTCGCTTGCTTTTGCCGCTCTTATTTCGAGGTATCGATGTAGTGATTTTTCTAGGAAAAGTTTTGTGCATGTTTAAACCCTTCCAAAGCATGAAACGTGTTTCAAATCATTCCGATGATAGGCGAAATGTAAGGTGCACTTTTTCATTCAAAAATGGTCAAACTTTTCCAGACAAGGGAGGGCGCTGTTAACGTGATGTAAATCCAGGAATATTCTATTCAGATCGCATGCTCATGTTCAAAAGTTGCACCCCATGTTTAATCTTGAAAAAAAAATATTCATGAGTAAAGTTTTCTTACTGCAATACAATAAATTGTCAAAGAAAATGGAAATCTTTGATAGCAAAGTATAAGAAACAACTAGCATTTCTGTGCAGAGATGAATCCAACAGTGCGGTTTAGTGCCTCGGATTACATCACAGCTTTACTCCGGAATATACAAATTCATGTCATTGTAAAAAAAAAACAGACTCAAAACAGATAAACAGTAGAATGACAAAATTGAAAAATTGGGTTAACTGAAACATAAGGTGCAGCTCAATGATTTTAGAAACTGGTCCCTTTAAGTTTGGCAAGGCAGTAACACGGAGTATGAGCCCGGAGCCGGACCAAGAGAAGGCACAATTTTCCAAGCAACAAAGGCTACTTGGGTGGGAACTGCACTCCACTGGTTCACAACGACTATTAATTGCACGTGTTACAGCAGCATCGCTACCAGTGAACAAACGGTCCACATCAACCAATGAAGGCGTACTTCTGCTCAAGGTGGATAGTATAGCAGGCCTGACCGATTTGCAGGATTTGCGCAGAAGAAATTCTTGTGTACCACGATAAAAATTCAATAATTAGACGCCATCAAAATGCAAAACCACAAAAATACCCCCCCCCCAAAAAAAAACAGTCCACTCGGCCAATTATTTTTAAACTGTGGCCGTTCGACGGATGCCAAACATTGCAGAACGATTCTTCTTCGCACGGTGTCGCCTGTTTTTTTCCTAATGCATAATTAAGGGATTTCATCATGGAAATATTAAAAAGGACTTCTTAACAGCCCCATGACTTGATAAAATCAGCATCCTTTGCATAACGGTCCGCATTAAGTATCGTTGTGATATCATGCACAGATAGGATCGCACATACCTTTAGTCACAAAGACAGTATCCTCTGAGATCCGATCGTTGCTCCCGGCCAGTTGGAAATAGAGCGTCACTGGTATCCGGTTAACACCGGTTCCACGAACACTGACAAGAACGGTTTCCTCAACATCCACGCGAACGACGTTTGGCGCTGCGATGAAATACTGGGCACTGCATGACAGTGAGAAAAAAGTCATTTCATCTTGCAAATCAAATTTTGCAGAGCATCGAAAGTAACCCCGTGTTTCAACTCTTAAATTACGAAATTGTCCACTTAAAACAGAGAACCTACTTTTTCTATATTCCTTTCTTTGGATCGTTCTACACGATACAAGTTGTCATCATCTAAGTCCAGTATTGTACACGCAAACTGTGGTGAAATTTCGAAGGGGCACTCTTATAGAACACCAAGAGGCGCCAGATGGATGGTGATTGTACATAGGTCGTGTACAATTAAAAATGTTAAGCTGGGGATACCCATGGGGTACAGATCTCTGCTTTGAGAAAGGGTGACCTGGCCCCTCCCTGCAGTACTACTACTTGAAAGAACGCTGTGCTTGCTCAGCTTCCTCAAGTTTTTTTTTTTTTTTTTATTATGAGAGTAAGGGAAGGTTAGATTAAAACATTCACAATTGCCTTACAAAATGCTTTCTTTACAGAGGGCCTGCATGGAGCGCCCTCACAGAAGATATGTTTTGTTATTTAGTTACCAATGAAGTGCTAGAGTGTGTACTCAAGCATATCACATAAGAACAAAGACCTGTCCTCTGGGAGGGGGCTCCACGCAGGCCCTGTTTTTTGGTAACACGTTTAGGTTTCTCGTCATTCGTGGGCTTGTTCAGATGAAGAGAGCGTACATCTGCAATATTTGAAGGAAGATATGGGACTGAGAAAACCTCCCCTTTGTGTTGGCCATTGTTTGACCGGAATCCCAGAATTTCTCTTCAGACGGGGGGGGGGTGTTACGTTACAGTAGTCTATAGTCTAGAGTGTCTATAGGGTTAGGGCATGTGTGTTGGGGTATCCCCTCCGTCCCATATCTTACCGAGTATGACCCACAACGAACAATACCAAATCTAACTGAATCTAGTCTTAACTAAAGATATCAAGCAAGGCCAAGCAAGAAACCGAATAAAAGGCGAATGAAAAGAGAAAAATTTCCATGCAGATGCGGCAATCAGGGATAAAAAAGCAAAGACAAAAGAAGAATACCAAGAAGTCTGATTGGTGAAACCCATCAGTACCATGCTAATGATAGAAAACAACGCGGACTGAGGTTTGTGAGATTTTCAGGTCGAGGAAATGTTTTATTTACTTTTCCTAAGGAAAAGCAGTTTCAAGGGCATGTACAAGTAGTTAAGGGGGACTTTCTGGTACACTATAACCTTTTCTTAAGAAATATGAAAAAGGTCACGTGTAAATTATGATTATGAATGAGGGTAGTGTAGAAATTCTGTTAAACATTAGAGCACAAATTCTTTATTGTATTTTGGTAGATTATTTAAATAATCTACCAGCTGTAATTGGTGTATCTCGTCCTGACCTACGGCTGTAATTCTATTTGTCGGAAATCTTTTCCTTGCGGGTTTATCGTCCCCACGGAGAAAGCCTTCAATCTGATACTTTCCATCGTGCCTCGCATCACGATGCAGCTTGTTAATGCGACTCAAACGACTTTCGCCGTCTATGTCGTAATACAGAGACTTCAGGTACATTTCCATGATCGTGTCTCATCGGAGAAAATTTTAAAATGACCGTTTGATATATTTGACCACTTTAACACTAACAGTGAAGTTCAAACATCACCTTTGAAACTTTTTTTACTCGTACATGAACATGTAATTTTTTTTAGGTAAACGCATTACAATTTTCTAGGATTTTTTCCATTTTCTTTCAGTTGAAGTTTAAAAAATTAAAATGGTACAAATACTTACAAGAAAAAAACAAACTTACAATGTACATGTAATAGAAGGTGCGCACAAAATCCATTTTATTTACAATCAAAATATTGTTTTTACATGGTATTTTTCCAAAACATGAACAAATGAACATTTTAAATAAAACGATATATTATAACATTAGAGATTTATACGGAAAGTAAAATTTTTCAAAAGAGAAATACATGGTCCCCCCTCAAAAAAAAAAAAAAAAAAAAACGCTCGAGCATACTTCAGCTATTTTTCCAGCCTAAAGCATAGGTATGGGTGGGTGAAGAATCTTCTTAGAAGAAGAATGACACCAAGAGCAGCCTAAACGGATGAGTGGTTATGGTGTTAGAGCCAGTTTTGTAAAGCAAGGTCATAATGTTGAAAATTTAGTAAAATGTGCCAAGGTAATTATGTTACACTTTCTGGAAAGTGTCAAGTTTACAAATATTTTTTTTTTCATTTTGTTTAAAGAACCATTTATTTATCATTTTTGCTATAATCACCCTTCCCCCCCCCGTTGTACCAAAAATCAATAACCAGTGAATGATTACTGGAATCACTTCCGCTAAACTTTATCAATGGAACCCCTGGACATTGCTTTACATAAAAGGCTCTACACTCAAAACTACTAAACCGAATCAATTGATCAAAGTGTCATTCTCCTCCTAAGAAGATTCCCCTTCCATACATACCAATAGTTTGGGGCATAAGATAGCCGAAGTGTGCTCGGGCGGTTTTTTGGGGCCCCCCTCTATTATTATTACAGTTCGAAGCCAAAACATCAACTACACAACACAGGTTTTACAAAAATCAAATCAAAATTAAACATTTGACTGAAAAAACACGCCGGCCGAATCCCAGCTATCGAATCATAACTTGTTCTAGCAACCAAACTGCTTGTTTTTTTTTCGGACAAACCATTTTCGTGATTACTCAATACGGGTGATTCACAATAGTGCGCCTCCAAGAGTTTGCAGCGCACTGGCCAATTACGACGCGCGAAATTTGTCGCGTGATTGGCCAACGCGTTGCAAACTCTTGGAGGCGCACTGTTGTGAATCGCCCGTATTGTCCGAGCAATCATCGGTTCCTCCTTAAATACTATTCCTTTTCAAACCATAAAAAAGAGAAATAATACGATATGGGGCTGTCCATAAGGTACATACGCACTAAGGGGGGGGGGTGCCGTTACGTACACCATGCGTACAGAGGGCGAGGGGCGTTCAAGCCATTGTGTACCGTATGCAAACTGAAAATTTGCCTTTAATGGATCTCCATCATATCTATACACTTCCTCATACAAATAACTACCAGAATCAGCTTTTGTGCGTCGAAATTCAAACACAGTATACTCCAGCGTCCAACCCACCATTTATCCTCCCATGCCAACGCCCATTTTTGGAGAACTGCAACATTACTGCTGACACAAAGATCGCAACTTTCACAAGTTGTCCTTTTGACGTTAAAACACAACGAAACGTAAATCATATATGGAGGTTGGTTACCCCTCCTTTTAAAATGTGGCGCGCCTGGGATCTAACCTTTACCTATCTATCAATTGAGAATTAACATGTTTAGGAAAATTTTGTTTTGAATTGTTATTAGTTCAGAGGCACGAACAGGGTCAAAAGCATCCGTGCGCGTGACAACTGTACGTTGAATGTACCGGTTCAAGTAGGCCTACATATATTAACTCTGTTTCACACTTATCTGGATCTCGACCAGTGATCGTTGGTTCAGACAACACAACCCATATAATGGGTGGATCGAACCAGCGTTAAGACCAAGAACCCAGACCCGTGTGAAACAAACAGGCCCATAGACTGCAGCTGAAATAATGAATCTGTGAAGTGTTATATTTGGTGAAAACTATTTAATTAAACGACTTTCCCGTATCCTTTTACGAGATACCGTTAAGATACCGTTCGTTTCTATACCAAAGAAAGTGTTCCAAGACCATTGGCGTAACTGTAATTATACAGGGGGGCACAGAGAGGACACGTACCCCCCCTGCCCTTGGGTGCCCTCTCATTTGAAAATCGTTGAATAATCTCCATTGAGTTTATATACATATAAACAATACATATAGCTGGAAAACCCCCCCTCCGGACATGTAGCCCTAGTTTCGCCACTTGCCACGACTGTCAAAACTCAAAAAGGTAGGCCTATCTCTGTAAAATAAACACAGGAAGCAATTTCAAGATTTTGAATCTAAATTTGGATTGTTCAATATAACTGTAACTTCTCTGTAACTGCAAGATCTCTCAAAATGTTACAGGGGCATCTCATGAAAAAGGAATTTTTTTTTAGTTTTCAATGATATCGTGTAAGTCTATTATGGTCGGGCAGTAAGAAGGCATTCTCCTGACGACGGACAGAGCACACTGTCTTAAACGTTGAGCCTCTCCGGTTCTTATCAGAACCACACAGACTCAAAAAGAGATATTGCATGGTCCTTACCGCAAGCTTTCCATCTAAGAAAGCATTACATGTATAGGCCTTTTATCTAAGAATTCTCGAAATTCAATTTACATTGGAAACAATTATAGGGACACCCTCTGTCGTTGAGTTGCGTGAATCCAGTTGTGCAGAATTCTCAAATTCATTTCAAGAAGGTTCCTATTGTCTTCCACGAAATCTGTGAGACTCTGCTACCTTTTGAAAAATCTTCAAATAACTACCCAATTAAGCACTGTGCGATACCGTCGCAGGAAGGTAAAGACCCTTGCCAAGTCACGTAACAATGGTGGGTGTCCCACAGTGGCTTCGAGGAGGTAAGCAGAACCTGTCTTTGTGTATGATTTGGATACGTGACGAACTCTCTAACTCTCAATACTCAAGAGAGCTGTAAATGATCAGCTGTTTTACATTTCTCAACAGGAGGGACTTTGTTTTTAACTTCAGAGCAGTCATGTTTCAGACCAAAAAGCAGTCCTTGAAGTTACCGACCATTTAACTAATATGTGTGATGGTAAGGTAACAGGAGCCATTTGGGGGGGACCTTAAGAAAGCATTCGATACTGTTAATAAAATTTGTCTAAGTGACACGATGGTGGAGTCAAGGATCTTGAATCAAGATGGTGTAAAATCATCTCTCAGGAAGATAACAGCGGCACTAGTTGGAATTCCATAAGGATCAATTCTTGGCTCCCTTCTCTTTATCATATTTATTAACAGCCGTCTTTCGTGTATCAACCCCAGCAACCAAAGTGAGCATATATGCTGATGAAACCATGATCACGTTTAATTGCACGACCCCTGAAATGTTGGCGCTTTGCCATGAGTTAGGTAAGTGGTGGTTGATGGTCCAGAAACTTACGCTTAATTTTGGTAAAACTAAATTCATGACTTTTGGTTCCCATCCTAGCTACATACTACTCACATATTCATTCGAGAGTTCATTCGTACAAGTATCTCGGGAATATTCTGGATAGGCATATGTCTTGGTCTGATCATACTGATGCCACAGCTAAGGAAATGTCCATGAGGATGGGATTTCTACGACGATCTGCTAGACCCTGCCTTCCTAAACCATTGTTTAAAACGATAAGAAATGCCATGATCTTGCCTTTATTCGACTACTGTAATGTTGCCTGGTCGGGATGTGCACGTTCCTGTAGTGTAATTCGACCACCAGAATTATAAGCCATTACTTCGGTGGCACAAAGCTCGTGGACAGGTGGTACGCGCGCGTTACATGCCTCCTCGACCAATAGGGTGTCGTGATTTGCCAAATGCACGCGCGCGTCAAGCAGATAAATGCGTGTGTGGGTACGGTGCCACCGCAGTTAAGGCATCTAATCGGATTAGTCTATACACTGGCAAGCTTCTCAAACTATTCAACCACCGTCTTGCCAGAGCTTAATTCTTGATGCTCACCCTAGAACACATATTCAGGAATTATAACAAGCACTTTCATGGTCATCATTGCCAGCTTGTTGGCAGATACATCGATTGATCAAAGTGTACAAATGCCATTATAATCTGAGTCCACCATGTCTCCAGTCCCGTTTTCTGAAACTATGTCATTCTGCCGATACCCGTGCTAAGTCTAACGGATAATTACATATGTACGTTAATCCCAAGACTGATGCTGCTTGGTGCACTTTTCAGTACCTTGAGACCCTGGGATGGAACAAACTTTCTACGGCCCAAAGACAAGCGAAGTCACTTTCACATTTAAATCTGTTACAAGCTGATTATGTTTTAAAATTATTTTTATTATATCAAAAGTTAGTTTTACAGTTTTAGTTTAGTGTCCTGTATTTTACTAACTTTCCAATAAGCTAACGATGTACGTACCCTTTTTACATTTGCTGGATACTGTATGCTTCAATACAATTGTAATACAACTTGCTGTTCTAAGTTTTAATTTTAACAATTTTAGTGGCAATTCACTAAGGACTCTTCATAGTTACCTTTTATTATATATTGTTTTTATTTCCCCATCGCTTGTTTTATTTCAAATCTTTGTTCTGCTTCAATATATATCATATATATATATATATATATATATATATATATATATATATATATATATATTTCATTTTCATTTGATAAGGTCTACATATTTTTCCTATGTAGATTTTGGGAGAATTTTTGATTTAGAAAATGGTTTTCGAATTTTTCTGATCGCGACTCTCGTTTGTAAATTTTCGTTGGATTTGATTCTGCTTCTGTGATGACCCATTATTTTGCACATTTAGTTTTAAAGACTTGCCTGTATCGCTGTTTTGATACTTTTAATTTAAGCTTTATAAAACAAATACTGAGGTTGCGCCGTGCCCTTTTGTGTCCACTTTCTACTGTGAGTTCAGAAATCCCGACTCGAATGAATCTGTCAGCCGTTTGTACACAGCGAATCAGTTTATCTACCAAAAACGGTGGCAGCCAATCAAGTTGCCGGACTTGTTTGCACATCGTTCATACCTCCATTACAATGAACGAGTCTGCGAGTCTAACTACTTTAATCTGTGGAAGTTCCAAGTCTCTTTTGATTGGTGGAAATTCTGTATACATTTTGCAAGATCATGTCGTTCACATGCCATTATGAATAACTACCGATAACCGACAGGGGGTCTGACTGGCTTATCGGTCAAGTCTGACTTACTGACTGTGTAGTACACACGTTGACGCCGGATATCGATATCACGAAAGGCTATCAAATGAGGGCGCCTTATAAGAAGTTAAGCGAGCGGCCGAGCGCGGCAACCGTATACTGTGTAAGGAACAGCTGACTGGGGAGAGAAACGGGAGTCCGACTTGATGCAGGTCGAGGTGCGGAAACAGGTGCATATACAAAGCTGCAATTTGAGGAGTTTCACAGGGGGGGGGGTGATAGTTACCGATTACTAAGACAGCGGACGCCGTCTGTTTTTTTTATTTTAACTCCTTGAGACTGAACGGCGTGATTGATGAACTTAGCAAAGGCACAACCGTAGGTACACAATTCACTGGCATGTTTTACGGGGAAAAACACCTTTTGTTTGGTTTGTTTTATGGATGCACTGGGCAGATCATCAAGGAATTTTTTTCTGGGGATCAGGCACGTTAGATGTCCGATTGTAATACATTACATTGTTACTGATGTCATCTCTTCAAATAATTGATAAAAATGTGATTATTATTTCATTTAGTTCTTATTTATTAGTATCATGTTGATGTGAGAGCGGAGGGGGCTTGACCTTCATCCCCCTGGATCCGCCCCCATCAATATACCTTTTAGCACTCCAATGAAAAAAAATCGTGTATCCATACTTACTCACTTCTTTTCTTATACGTTTAAGAGGGCTAATAAACGGGGCCGGGGCAACAGGTGAAGGGTGTGGAGGTTGATGAGGTGAAGTCGTTTGAAAAGATATCAGCGTTTCTGTGGGCATTAATTTCGCCTGTCTGAGAGGAAAACATCGAACATTTAAAGAGCACCTCTGAGGAAAACAAGTTTTTCTCTGATTTTTGTCTGTTCAAATAAATGTGGAAGCATCCTAATCGAACGCAGTTGTCATTTGTCCTAAGAGTTCAAGTATAACAAGCTAAAAGGGACTTTTTTCTGTTCATGCCAAGATGCGAATTCTGAATGTTGATCGGGTCATTCGGAGAAAACAAGGGAAACCCTCGCTCTGTATTTATTATGTAGTGGATAAACCCCTGTGCATGCCAAACAGTGCATGTAGCCATTGTTTGTAGCCATTGTTTGGCATGCACAAGGGTTTATCCACTACAAACGCAGTGTGGGTTTCCCTCGTTTTCTGTTTTCTCCCCAGGACGCAATCAACAGTCAGAATCCACATCTTGGCATGAACAGAAAAAAAAAAGCCTTTTAGCTTGTTTTAGTTACGTTCTGAAGACAACTGACACTGCGTTCGACTTGGAAGTCCACTTTGAGTGTTTATTTGAACAGATAAAATCAGAGAAAACATGTCTTCCTTAGAGGTGCTCTTTAAAAGTCCCGCAGTCCGAAATTGAAAAGCAATTTCTGTTGACCTGTAAGAAAATAGAGTGAAAGATTTATACTCACGCCTGTGCTACGGTGAGTATGTGGAGGGCTAAAGCGAAGATCAGGCGGACTTGCATTCTTCCGTTTGCCCCTCTTCGATGCTAAGACCAGTTTTTCCAAAGACAGACTTTCACGGAAGAAGAGAAACTGAATCTGCACTGAACCCCCAAATATGCTTAAGTTGACAACGACGAGTGAACGACGAGTGTTTTGCTCTGCAAGATCCACCAAGATAATTTTGCGAACTCCCTTTTGTTGGTGTAGGGCATCCGGTGAGGAGATGGCAAACCCAGCTCCACACTGAGGCGAAGGGCCAGGGCGCTGCAGATTTATAGCCTACAGCACGGGTCAGTCAACTTTACAGTCACGTCGAATTGACGTGGCTTTTAACCTTTCCCGGATATTTGGTTGTACCATTAATACTACAGGGGCGTTACTTTTTAAGCAGCACAGAAACCATCAGAGGGATATCTATTTTGAATAATTTACACAAAACAAAGCAAACGTTGTCACATGGAACACTTGAATGTGCATGTAATTGAAAATGAAGAAGGGGGGTGTCGTCTGGCGGGGGGTTGTCTGGCGGGGAGGGAGGTTGTCTGACAAAGATCAACTACCTTGGACATTTTATGATTGGCAATATAACCTGTACACTGGCACAATTTACTGAAGTTTAAAGAAGACAAGCTTTCATGCAAGTAAGAAATATAATTAAGTGTGTATTATCTGTAATTCACTTCAAGGAAAAAAATCTTTTTAAGACCTAACGTAAAAATAACCACTTTTAAGTCGGGTTCGGCCAAAGCAGAAACTCCACAGTATTTTGGAGTAGAGCATTTGAAGGTTATCTACATTTCCTGTCTTACACATAAGGGGAATTCCCAATCAGTACTGTTAGCGAGAATCCCAGCGATCCTCTGGCAACATCCGGGGTACGAAGGTCTTTTTCTATTGTTCAGAACCCCCTCCTCCCCAGTCCCTGAACCGATAGCAGCCGGTTATGCCATCACTTGAAGCCCTTTGCCCCAGAAGATTAAGAGTCGCCAGAAATTGTGCTCGCAAGGCTGAGCACGTGCCTCTCGTAAACCTCAGCGAGTCCCTGGAGATGAAACCGATCGAGCAATTATCGCTTTTACATCTGCGGTTTTCGTTTAAACGAATATAAAGCAAATAATAGATTAGAATTTTAACTTTGGAAAGCGAAACACGCAATGCTGAGATATTAAACTCATCTTCAAATCCTCAGTGCAGTTCCCGTTCCTTGAAGGATGGGCTTAGATTCTGATCTAAGCACTTTTGCCCCCGAAAATAAAAACTTGGAACCAAGACACAACAGGCAAAACGGAAAAGCAAGGCGAAAGCAAGGAAAATACTACTCCTCACGGACGTAAATCCTGGGGGGGGGGCTATTGAACCCCCTCCCCCACTTATTCGGGGTGAGAAAAATTAAGGCAAGTTGTGAATATTTTTTCGGGCTTCTCATTATTGCAAAAAAGGGAGCTAACTTTTTAAAGTCATAAATACGCCTCTGATCTAGGTTCTACAACGCAGGAGTGTAATACATTACATAACATGAACATAAACTCCGTAGTTACTGATGTCAGCGACCTGTGGTATCCTAAGGCGTTTAGCTCAGAATGAGAGAGTGAGACATGCACGCTGTTTTGGTGGCTGTACTGCAATGACAAGGAGTGCGTGACCCTTGACCTTTAATGCTTTCTGAAGTACACGTATGGGGTTTCAGTTTGGATATGTTCGAAGAATAATTCACGACCCTCCGTCTTTAACATTCCGATGACCGCGCAAGTCACCCTTCCACAATCTTCCATCCCCCGCGCAGTTCCCAGAACAAGTTTACGCCACTGCTCCCCCCCCGCCCACACACAAACAATGCTTGTTTGTCATACCTAATGTCACCATCCCTTGCTTTCCTTCAGCTTAAAAAACCGGGGGAAACTGCACTTTCTTCTCCCAATCTGATAACTCCTTCTAGCTAGATTTTTGCTGATTACTTTCTCATTTTGCCCCAGATGATTCTTACCGCTAAAATGCATGTCAAACTTTTCATGCAGAGAGAGAGAGGGGGGCGGGTATAAACAATGATATAACGGGACAAAAGGGGATTGAATTAGGCATTTTATTGTACAAAATGAACGTGGTAGGATTACGTACCTCAGGCTTCGAACAAGAGAGTTGCCCATTTCGTGTAGGGTCAGAAGACAATGTGCTGACATAGCGGTCCATACAACACTTAGTTTTGTCATCCGAACTGCCGTTGGTTTTGTGAAGATTTTTATACTGATTTTTTCCAATCTTGGACTACATTGTTGGCTTCTGTTCCAAGGCTAAAGGCACAGTCACCCATACATAAAGCACAACCTAAAATAAAAAACAGAAAACAACAGAAAAACAAAATAAGAGACAAAGCGGTCCCAAAACACTTTTTTTTTTTCAAATTTTTGTTATTGAAGGGCAAAATAAACTGCGCTATATAATGATTACAACTTGGCGTTATCATTTTTTTAAAACAAATCTACCGATATTAGCTATATCATCTCTCTGGGGTTCAACTAAACCACATTTTCCGTTTTAACCAAGAGACAAAGTGGACTCTGGAAAAGCATACATAATAATCAATTTTGCAGCCACAACTGCCCCGGCTGGCAAGCTGGTCTCTGGAGGCTGCCTGAGTGTAATAACGTTACGAGTGGACTGTTCGAGCATAGACATGATGGGTGCAGTCCACTAATTCAAGCGAGAATTCAAGTTCTGGCCCGCTCATCAGCGTTAAAAGTGCCCCCATAGTAACTTTTGGAAAAAGGAGATTGTATGGCCCCCAAAATGGTGAGATTGCGTAAATCTTTGCCAGAATCAACTCCCTGGGTCTTTGGACTTTCACTTTGATCTGAGAGCAGAATGGCTAAAAAATACTGTTGAAAAGTATTCCGAAGTGCCCCAGAAAATTGAAGGTTGTCATTTGAAAAATGGCTGCAAGCAGACTTTGGAAAAATCATTTTGATTTTTTTTTTTGGGGGGTAGGGAATAACTGAAAATGTAATCGGTTAATCCGCAGAAAATTGAAAAGAAAGTGAAAGATTAATGACCATACAATAATTTAGCGTGTGTTTCAGATGCCTCAGGGATGTTGGTACGCATTATTATTGGGTCCCGAACAATGCTGATTTTTCAATGTTTTCAATAGGGCCTGAATCAGTGGACTACACCCTATATGGAACGTGGGGGGGGACTTGATATTTTCCTCAGAACGCCTCGGCGAATACACTGCAGCGTTCACGATTAACCTCGTTTCCAGGCTTCGCTTGCAGTACGTGTAACACTGGTGTATTCACGGCAACTGATGACATGTGTCCATTGTTATTGTGAACATGTAAAGGCGCGCCTTTTCATATGTACGTTTTTGGGAGCGTTGCGTACACGATGCGTTTCACTTTCACGGATACAAAAATCGACGCCATTAAGACTTCATGGATCGGTCTATAATGCAGAAGCATTTCGATGAATTCCCAGGGGATAAAATAACATAATGTCTGCAGACAAAAGCGAAAGCGTGGCTGAAGACAAAAGCCAAATATGTTTCACCTGGCAGACGGCCAGAGAGGAAGTCGCAGTGAACCATTTCTTGCAAGGGTCTTGGTTATTGTCCAAAGACAAAGCGAAACAGGATCTAAGATCGAGCAGGAAAGCTAGGGTTAAAGTTTAAATACACTTCCAAGGCTGTCGAACCACAGAAAAAAACAAAAACGAATTCATTCCATTATCTAATGACTATTTTTTTAATTCTTGCGAGCTTTAGGGATTGTTTGTGCACAGAATTGTTTATAAGATGGCCCCAAAATTTGAAAGTTTTTGAATAACATTGAAGGCCTTTCTGAGCTTCGCGGCTGAATAAGTATTTAGTGCTTTTTATACGCTTTCAGGACGGAAGGGAAAGAATGTAGATCGAATATTGTCCTTCGGTCATTTTGGGTTTTTTTTTTTTTGGGGGGGGGAATCCCTTTCCACAACTAATGGATCTGCCCTTGTGTGGGTGCTGCTTGTCTATACCTCTTAATACCAGGAACGCTTGGCATGCATATACATCTTTCTCGCGGCGTATCAGTGGTATATGGGGAGGGGTAGCCATTCTGTAGACTTATTACCATTTCTTTTCTTCTGTAGAAACGCCAGGGGTTTTGGCACTGCACAACCACTTTTTGTTTTTATTTTTTACGATTAAATCGGAAAAATGTTGGTCAGTCGTTACTGAAAAAACAATCATCCCCTCTCCCGACTCTGCAAACGAACTGTCTGTAGCAACAATGAAGAACCTTACTTCCTTAAAATAAGATATGGAGTGGAATCAAAGTAAACAGCCAGTGAATTTGTTTTGTGCAGGAAGCAATGCCCAGACTAAAAACCACCGACAAACATGATCTTTCGGAAACAGGAAGTCGATCAGTACTTTCCGTTGGATGCGTACCTCGATGCGACCTTTCATCACAGAAACGTTTAACCGAGATCACTCCGGACTCCTTGTGCAAACATTCAAGAATAGAATGCAGTGTCGCAATCCTCATCGGCAACTTCATCGTTCTGAAAGCAAATTGACAGCACGTGGTTTTCCTTTCCTGGCCAAATAATATCATTATATGTGAGTGAATCATTGGAAAAAAAATGCTCCTCAACGTTTGGCATAATGGTATTCTAGAGGAAGGGTTTTCACCTGTGGTTTGATTATAGACCCACAAATTAAACTGACTTGTTTTGTTTGTTTTTTGTTTCTAGAGGCTTGTGAATTTTTGACGGCAACATATACAGTTTTCTATATGCCAGCCACCTACTGTGTCGACCACGTGTAGGCGTAGGCTACGGGTGCACTGCTCTAATTCAAGTCCCATTGCGAAGAGCCAGTGTAAACTCAACAAAGTTCGTAGCCCCTTTGGAAGCATCGTATGTTCCTGAGGCCTCTCAAACCAAACATAATGTGTTGTTGGGTCCTTCAGACTTCAAATGATTTTCAATGTTTAGCAGGCTAACCAATTAGATTTTTAGTTAGCCATCAAAAACAAACTCACCCTCCAAAATGTTAACGTTCCCGTGTATGTCAACACCCATTTTTTCAAATGGCATCCCTTCACTTTCTCAATTTCTTCAGAAAACTTTTCATCTGCATTTTTGTCTGCTTTGCCCTCGGACGGAAGCCCCTAATCCAGGAAGTTGATCTTGGGCCATACTTACACAATGCCACAATTTCTGGGGCCACACTAACTCCCATTTTCTAACAGAAACTGTAGGGGTGGTTCTTAAGC